CACAAAAGCAATGACAACAAAAAAGCTTTTCATGGCTCTTCTGTTGCCTCCCCTAGGTCTATAGTCTCTAGGAGGAGCCGAAAGCCCACAGCATTGCAGCCTGAAGCCTACAGCATTGTAGGTGTCTACTTTCCTTGAGGCCTTTTTCTCATATTTTCTGTCTTCAATCTTTTCCCAATATTTTCTAATATTTAGAAATCTCAGCAGTCGACCGTTAAGTTGTTCATAGGTGCTAAGACTGGGTTTATGACCAACTACAGAACTTCCACCTCATTATAAAATGCTACATATAACTTACTTTTCAATTAATTTTTGCTTTCCTTCTATTTATTAAAATATAAGATCTACAAGAGCGGTGGTATTCTGTGGTCTTCCGAATTATATCACAACATTGCTCAGTACATTGTAAGTGCTCAATATTACAGCATAAATTCATAGGAGCAAAAGCAATCTATAATGCCAACTCCACTTAACACATCAATGCTAACAATACAGTTCTTGTCCAGTGCTTACTATGTGTCAAACACTATCATAACTACCTTATAGGAATTGCTTCGTTTGCTCCACATATTAGATTGCAAAGATCCTGCTTATATTAGTCCCATTGCATGCATAAGATGCTAAACTTCAAAAGACAAAGGACCATATGTCAAGTAATACTGACACAAAATAACAGGACCATCAGGTTGATTCCACAGCTTACACTCTCATCTACAATAACATACAACTTAAAGATATTTTTTCCAACTAGCAAAAGAGTAGTTCTGATGGTATAGATTAAAGAGAAAGCAAATCATATTCATTTAACTGAAGAAAATAGCTTCTTTCTTTCCTTCTTCATTCTTTCACTATTATTATTTGTAAGTGGGGTCTCACTAATGGACCTGACTGCTGACCTGGGACTTCTCGATATCCATCTACCTCTGTCTCCTGAGTGCTGTGGTTAAAGTTATCTTCCAGCATTCCTGACCTGAAAATTCTTAAATTAAATCCTCTTACATGCCCAATGAAGTCAAGTTCCTGTGAAAAACAAACTAACTAACTGACAAACACTACAGTCCTCTATGTATACCCTGAGCATCACCTTGGGAGGCTATGCTTGAGTATCCTCTCATGAAGAAGCTTTCAGTGTTTTCTCACTCTGTGTTTTCAGCCACCTCTCTTGGCCAGAGAACCTGTAAATAGGAAGTTGGGAAGAAGAGTAACACCTAAAAGAGAGAGGAGTAGACTGTCTGGAGAAGGCCATTGCCTGATCCAGGAGGGCAGTGCCTGCATCAGAGAGAGGGTAGATGGGCAGGGTGACACCGAGAAATGGTAGGACATAGACCTTACCAACAAGCTGCAGGTAGGATGAAAGAGAGAGGCTGCTGGGGAAAGTTTCCAGGAAGAATGATGTTGAGAATCTAAGCAGAGCAAGCTGGAGAAGTGTGTTTTTACCATGTGACATTCCTGAAACGCTGTCAGGTGTCCCTCCTGTGCAGGTGGAATAAAGACAATTCCCGATGTAAAATCTCACAGCAGTGTGCTCCCATGCTACCCTTGACAGAAGGAAGCTTCTGAAGATCATGAGGGTGGGAACCACAAAGATATTGGTGAGATCTGGGGAAGAAGAGCCACTGCACATGGCAGAGGCAATGTGAATCCTCAGGCTCCTGACAGCTCTGGGAGGGCTGATAAAGGCCAGATTGGAGCAGGTTCAAAGGCTTCAGGAGGGATTTCTTCAGCAGAGAAACTTGATGAAAACTAAATATAGTTTTACATTTTGAGAAGGGATTTATCTAACATAGAGAGAACTTGTCAATTGAGTTGACTCAGCTATGTAAACTTTAAAAAAAAAAAAACATTACATCTAGAGTAACCAAAAATTACTTGAGAAAAGAAAAAGTAGTCAAGGTTCAGATGGGAATGGATTTGCATAATATCAAATGCACCCATCAGGCAGTCATCCAAATGCAAATGTTTCTATGAAAAGTAAAGGAGGGAGAGAAAACTAGGACATGGTCTTTGTGAGTAGGGGCAAAGTCAGGAGATGCTCATTTTCATTGGCTGCAAACCAAGAAGTGGCAACCGAGGCAGAAAACCAATAGGCTAAATCACTGAGAGATTTGGAAACAAAGCAAAATAGAAGCCTACTTGACCCTGAGCAAAAAAGGTGTGTGTGTGTGTGTGTGTTGTATGCCGTGTTCGTGTGCATATATGTGTGTGGTGTAATAAATATCTACAACATTAAAGGAAAACTTATTAAATTGTTTGAAATTGAAAAAGATACAAATAACCTCTAGTATTAAAAGACATTAAAACTTGAAACTAAGCAAGAGAAGGGCCTCATCTAAGATTCAAACATAATTGCAATCAAGTGTTAATTTTGAAGGAAAATACGAAGTACGAATCACAATGCAGGCAAAGAAAGTTGAGCTAGCAAAGAGGATTTTGGCTTAAATAATCACCAGTTTTATCAAGAAAGGAGCTCGTGTCCTCTGCAGAAAGCCAAACAGTTAAGTCTTGGAAAATGAAGGGAACGTGGCACAACTTTAGGAAGCCTCAGTCTACGGACAGACTTGGGGTCTACTACGAGGGGGAAATGAAGGTACACTAAATGATGGAAGAGATCGTAGGTTCTTCCCGTATCTTAGTGCCTGGATGGCAAACGCAGCAGATGTGTGGAAGCTGTAGGAGAAAAGAGAAGTCAAGGAAGAAGAGTCCAGTGGAACCAGGATTTATCCCTAGTGCATGGATGGGCTTTGGGAGCCCATTCCCCAAGGAGCGATGCTCGCTCAGCCCAGATACACAGGGAGGGCCTAGGTCCTGCCCCAAATGATGCAACAGACTTTGGTGATCCCACATGGGAGCCCTCACCCTCCCTGGGGAGTGGATGGTGGGAGCTGGGTGGTGGGAATAGGAGGATGGGAGGGAAAGGGAACTGGGATTGGTATGTAAAATAAGATTTTTTCTAATTTAAATAAAAATTAATTCATAAAAAAGAAAAAGAGTCGGGGGGCCATTAGATCAATGTCCCAGTCAAAGTGCAGCACTGACGTTGGAGAAACTCCTTAGAGACAGTAAGTCTGTGCAGCGCCCGGGGATTGTCTGCACGCAGCAATGGGGCCGAGTGCATGACAGGTGGTCCAGATACATCACAGATGGTAAAACATGCAGTGAAGCAAGAAGGGCAGCCACAGAGCATCTTCACTAGAATATGTCATTCTGGATGTGGCCTGAGGCATGCGCTCCTGAGCTTCCATTGTGCTGTGAATGTATTACTGTGCAGCAGGCATGAATTAATCAAAACACGTGACTTCTGAAACACGGAGATAAATTAGTTAGGAAAATTGAGTTTTTGTTAGGCAATTTTGCTTAATGATTAGAGTGTGCTCTAAATAAACAGAACAACAAATTGATTGCCAAAAACTCTTTTAATGCCTTTTTAATTCATAAGGGTTAAACACATAAAAGTCAGGATATTAAAAGTTAAAGTTCTCATAGAAACATTAATTTGACAACAAATTATGCATATTAGGTGTGGGAGGTTTATATTTTATAGCATAAAAGCTACAGGAAATACTGCACAAGGTAACTTAATTAAATTATGTAAAATAACAAAGTCGGGGGCAAGTCATTAACGCATGATTTAAAAAAAAATGTTTTGCAACCCCCAAAAAAGGTTTATAAATCTTAACTCTAGGAAAAAATGTATTTCAACTTTAAAAAAATAAAAATTTGTACTTCATCAATTTCCATAGCATATGCTTAATGCATTCTTAACCTTAGTTTATAACACTCACTTGCAGTTCAGATTTGATCCTAATAGCCCCAAAATACAAGTAACTGGCTACTTTCATGACAAAGCTAATAAAGATTTAAAATTCAAAGAATCAAAATAAAATGTATTTAAGGTGTTTTTTTCTATAATGTAGAGCATATAGGGAATATTTAAAGATGCCTGTCAGTGTATCACTTTGTTTCTGCATTTTTCTCTACAAATGTTTATCTATTTGTATGTGTACAGTTTGTGAACTTCAAAATCTGACCATGCAAAAATACTGTACACATATAATAAAGAAAGAGAGGGGGCATTGCTGGCCTTCACTGTCACTCTATATGTGTCCCCCTTTAAAATCCGCACAGCAAGCCTGGAATACTGTGTGTTCTCCAGAGAGCATCCGGTGGTCTTATCCACTTGGTCCTCTGTAGCTCCATTCCCTCTGTCAGGGATACAGTGAGCAAGACTGCTGTCCACTATGGTAACCGTGGGGAAAATGCTACCTCCCTCCCCAGTCAGAAGTAGTTCAGGAACGAAAGAAAAAATGAGGGCCACATAGGGAAATGTTAAAAAGAATGTTCTTCTATTAACTTACATGTAATATTACAGCCATCACAATTATTAATGAAACTTTAATTGCCAGTCAGTTCCCTTTATTATTAAATTTGAAGTACTCCTACATATGTTGCGACCCTTTAGATTTAATATGTAAATGTGTATTATTTTGGTGCAAAATAGCAAACACCATCTGAAGCATCCACCCCCTCCCCATAGGAGGCAAGTCAGAAGAGCACAAAAAAAAAGTGATGTTTGCTTAAACTTGTACTTTCCATTTTATTTGTGTGTCAAAAGACCACAGCCTGTAGAACAACACAAGGCCATTCAGGGGAGTGAAGCATGTAAATTCCTGAGCATGTAGACTCTTGGCCCACTATTCAACCCACCTCTTCAAAACAGACACAATGGGCTGCAGTCTTCACTGAACAAAATCTATTCAGCCACATTCCATGGCAATGAACTCCATGTAAGCTTAACGGAAAAAAATTCTTTGTCCATTTATTTTAATCTTTCCCCCCTTCTTTTGCCATAGCCAAACAAACAGAAGGACACATGCAAACTGCCAACCCCACAGGATGAACAAACAAGTGTTATTGAATATTCAAAAGTATAGTGGTATGTCTAAAGTTCAGTAACATGGGGCTTAGACTGTTTCTTTTGTTTTAATTCTTCTTATCCAGGCACCACAAGGCCACATAAGGAGGGGGAGGTCCCTGGAGTGGACTACATTTTCATAACCGTTGAAGATTTTATGGAATTGGAGAAAAGTGGTGCTCTCCTCGAAAGTGGGACCTATGAAGGTAAGTACAGTATCTTGGTAAAATTTTGTGCCTATTGTATTGTGTGACTGAAGAGCATTGGAAAACATGTAACAAATACACTGCTGATTTGTGCCAGAGAGCTTTAATCAAATAATTTCAGAAGCATGTTAATTAAGACATATCTGGACCATTAATTCTATTATTAAATTGAAGAGAAATAGGTGTCTACCTGCTAGCACATAACTCTGTGATTGCTTCCTCAAACTCAGCTACTATTATTCAGAGAAAATGTGTTTGGTGGTATCCAAAAGAGGCCAGGGTAGAGTTGCAGTCTGTCACTGTTCATTTTGCTTTCTCACGTGGCTGTGCATCACAGGTCTTCACTTACCTTCCATGCAAAATCATGAGATGGGAAAATATGATCTATAGGCAAATTCCAAATCCTACTGCAGAAATAAGTTTCCTTGTATGCTTGAGTCAAATAAGAACAAAGACTGAGACCCAAAGAGAAGTCAACAAGGATGTCTCACTACAAAGGACCCTGAAACACAAGTCAGAATGTGGCTCAGTTCCAAACCCAAACTTATTTACCCTCCCTCTTTAAATAAGTCATATTGGTGAAACTTAATTTTTTTATTTTTTAAAAAGATAGTGATAATAAATTAAAAAAAATAGTGATAGCTTTGAGAAACACCAGTAAATAGTATGTTGATATGGTCATATTGTACATGCATGTTTACATGCATCTAGTTTCAGTTTGATGAAACTTTATGTTAGGCATAGTACAATAATATTTTAAGCTAATATAAAAGCAGAAACATATTTCCTTTTTCTTTGTTACATGTTTAAAGTGCATTGTTATTCAGTTTGGAAATGAAACCAGTTTTACAGTGCTTCAGCTAATATTTATTGCTCAATAATAGTAGCAGAACTCATATTAGATGCATGACTGCTTAGCCAGTCCATCCAACACCCAAGTTCCACCAATCACCACTAGAAAAGCCAGGTTGCCATGTAACCAGTGGCTATCTACTTCCTCCTTTACTTTCTTTGGGTTATGGTTCAGAGAACTTTCATCCAGCAACTGCTGGTAGCAGATGGAGATATTCCCAGGCAAGCACTGAGCCAGGCTCTATGTTGAAGAATGGGAGTAGGGATTGTAGGAACGGGGAGCAGAGGAAGGGTGGTGGTGTCAAAATCATGACTGGAGAACCCACAGAGACAGCTGAACTGGGCTCTGAAGGCTAGGGAGCCTGCATAGGACTGACCTAAGCCCTCTGCAAGTTGTGTAGCTTGGTCTGTTTGTGGGGCTCCTAGCTGTGGGATCAGGACCTGTCCCTGGTGCTTGAGCTGGGTTTTGGGAACCTGTTCCCCAAGCTGAATTTCCTTGCCCAGGCTTGTTGCAGGGGGAGGACCTTGGTCGTGCCTCAATTTGATGTCATGCTCTGTTCATGGGAGGCCTGCCCCTTTCTGAAAGGATACTGAGGGGAAGTGGGTGCTGGGGTGGGAGTGCAAGTGGGGTCAGAGAGGAGGTCAAAGGAGAGAAGAGAAGGGCAGGAGGAAAGGGAACTGCCATGGGGATGTAAAATAAGTGAAAAGATTTCATTAATAAATAAAAAAGAGAAAAACCCCTTGGTGTTGTGAGGTTGTTTGAGGCATTAAAATCTCTTCCATTATTAAGTATTCTTAAGACAATTTAGGCTGAAAATTTTGCCTAAATGACAGAAGAGACTGTTACTTATGCTACACTCACAGGAACTAGCTAAGAATATCTAGAAAATGATTGCATGCATTAGTCATAATAAACAGATAATAAAGATTGATTTAAAGCATTTTAAATAAAGAAATTTTAATAATATATTAAAGTTGCTTCAAGGCACTGATGTAAAGAGCATTCTCTATAAATCAGAAAACAATTATATCAAATAACTCAGAAGAAATGAACAGTGCATTTTATGGAATATTTTCCTTTGGGCTGTGTGATAATAACATTGATTAGTTTGTATGCATTCTAATAGTAATGTATTACATTTAATAACCTTATTTGCATATCACATTCACATATTGAAGAACCAGGATCATACAAGATCCTTCCAAGAGTGTGATGAATGATATGACTTTTTGTCAATGAAACAGACTATTTAGCCAGGTTGGATAGAAGCTTTTAGAAGACCGTATATTCCTGTTAAATCTCTGTTGCTCTTGTGGTAAAATAGATGCTGTAAACTTTTACAAAAACTTACTAGTAACTTAAAATCTACTTTAGGCTGGGCATTGATGGTGCATGCCTTTAATCCCAGCAATCGGGAGGCAGAGGCAGGCAGATCTCTATGAGTTCGAGGCTGGCCTGGTCTCCAGAGTGAGTGCCAGGATAGGCTCCAAAGCTACAGAAATCCTGTCTCAAAAAAAAAATCTACTTTAGATTTTCTTTTTAGGTCACAAGTAAATCTTGAAAAAGAAAAATCTGTTCCAATATAACAAAGCTTTGTGAAAAGGTGATTGCTCCTGCCTTTTGTTAGGTGTTTTTTGTTTTGTTTTGTTTTTTTCATACCTGGGTGTAGTTTGAAGGTTTCATATAGCTCGTTAATCTCTTCAGAGACTCCAATGTATGCAGAACTGATTACTGAACAATAAATCAGGTTTTTTCATAGAGGATTTTGTCATAGGTGTACTTGGATAAATTGTGTACTTGGATAAATAAATGTAAATCTCTTTTCCTAGATAACATAACTAACTACCTGGATAGAAATCTAGAGAACATTCTCAAACCTTGGGGTTTTTTTAGTTTGTCATAGAACTCCAGCTAAGGAGAAAGTAAAATTTACCTTCGGTTGCATTCCTTTGGTGCTGGTCGAATCTAGAGCCTCTACTCAGGGATCCTTGTGAAGGAGGGCATGGGGAAGCCCTTGAAGCCACTGGTACTCTCAGAGTACACAGGAGAATCCCTGTATTACTCAGCTAGACAGGAAAGATCCCCGAGTGTTTCTGTTTTAAACTCCTGCAATAGCAGTCTTTCCTACAGATTCAAGGGTTCTTTACTAAAAGTGCCGTGTCTCTAGATCCTATGCTTCTCCTTCGCTGTGCCTGTGACCCTTCCACCTGGCTGTGCTTTCTCCTGTCTTCTCAGTTCTGCGGAGCCCTTGGTCAGAGTGGAAAAGCCATGTTCAGTCTTCTGTGAATATGCCAAAGAAAATGCAGAGTCAGCATTAAGGCCATGGACTTTCTCTTACCTATGTGGGATCCTTAACAATGAAAGATGCTCCCAAAATGCACCCTGCTTATTCACAGTCTATCCACTTACAAGCTGGAAGAAGAATGGGTTCTCCCATTAGCTTACGAAATATGCTGCAGTCCTTGTCCTGAGAATAGGGGCTGCCTTCCTTTTATTGGCAAAGATCAAAGAGATACCCTACATATGGCCTGCTTTAGCTACCCATCACCAACAAGAGCAATTTCTATTGTTTCTGGGCTTCTTTACTCCTGCCACTTTGTCTTATAATAGGAAATGCCCACCTGTAAAACAATGGTGACAAAAGAGATACAGTCATTTAAGCAAGTTTCATGTTTCATTGTTAATTCTAGTTTAATTCTGGTAGATATATATGACCAAAAGGGAATTTGTCGGTTATTTTGTTGATCAGACATCAAAAAGACTCTCCTAATTTATAGTTCTGCCTCTGGAGAACTTGGTCAGGCCGTGCTCCAAAGAACAGCTCTGCTACTGCATGAAGCTGAGAAAGAAGGGCTCAGTGTACTGTGGTCATCCTCAGCCATGCCGAATGCCCCAGCAGAAGTACGATTGATTCTTAAAGCCTTCCTTCTATGCCTGTCTGAACGGCTCATTTTCAGTTAACCACAGAGAGCTGCTGACTGGCCCCGTAGGAGAATGGCCCAGGGAGACTTGAATGACAAGAGCTATGGAATGTTAGTGAAGGTGCCTTTTCCGAGGCTTGGAAGGCATGCTTCTTGCTTTTCATAGTCAATCGGGTTGGTGATTAGTTTGATTTATTGTACCAATAGATGGTTAATAATACAATGCTGATTAATGAAAGACAGCCCAGCCATGAGACCTGCCATGTCATGAAGAATGCTAGGAAAGCTATAACTGAAGGTGCAGGCTTCCTATGAAATTCAAGGCACAGAACATTTTAGATGAGAACGGAGCACTTTCTTGGAATTAAATTCACTTACAAGTAAGTGTGACTTTATTGGGCAGTCTAAATCTGTAATGATACTCTAAAGAAGGACTCTAAGTTTTAGGAGACAGCCGAAGGTTACAGCAATAGCTTATATTTTGGGAACTTTCTGAGTCTCCCACCAACAACCTGAAAGGAGGCTTCTCATACCTATGGTGGGATTTTTGTTAGGTGTTCTATAGTTAATGGGGAAACAATATCACCCTCTTGGAGTGATAGCATTTACCTAAAAACACATGATATATGATAATGTTTCCTAACGGTTTTTTCAGTCATCCTAGTACTATTTATTCCTCCCCATCCCGCTCTATATATCCCTCCCTCCTTTGTCAGTTCCCTCCTCTCTGTGTCCTGCTGTCCACTATCCAGAGTTCCTAATCTCCCTCTTACCCCACAGTCACCTTTGTCCTGCTTACTCCAGATTGTACATTCCAATCTAAAGATTTGGAGCTAGAATCCACAGATAAAAGAAAGCATATGACATTTGTTTTCCTGGGTCTGCATCACCTCACTCATTATACCACGTTCTAGTTCCATCCATTCATGGAAAGAAGTCCAGCCTTTGTTAACGCTTCAAGTGCTGAACCACCCAGAACTCTGAGTAGTGACTCTTGCTCCTTCCTCTTCTTACACTTCTCTGGGATGCTATATCAATAGTCTCACTCAGCGGTCATATCACTTATCTGCCTAAACTAGTGTTTTGAAGGCACACCAAAAAGCCCTTAGTCTACCGAGCTTTGCTAGACTGGTTTCACTTAATTCATACCCTGAGATGGTCTCGTCCTTTCCACCACAACCTTTCCATTGTATCACCCACTATTCTATTTTTCTTTCTTTTTTTTT